CCCCAAAACCCCAAAACCCCAAAACCCCGATGATATAATGGGTAAATTAAAATTAAAAGTCGAAGAAATATTTGATTTTAATTAATTAGCGTTGATAGATTTACATATATTAGAGACTTTACTACATATTTCGAATTTATGGATAGTGAGTTAATGTCAAAATCTGGTTCATTTCTATGATTATCATCATTCATTTTTCTCCACTGATTGAGCCAAGAAGATCTTCAAGGTGGATATGGATGTTTAAGAGCTAAACTACATTGATAGACCAATATATTTGAATTAGGGGTTCAGCAATTCAGTATGGAACACTTAATCTTTTTTAATGCTTGAAATGAATATTTCGAAAAACTCTTTCAACGTTGTAAGTACTAAGTCCTCTCTACATATAAAGTCTATCACCATTTCTTTTGCGCCCTTGATCTTAGGTCTTCGTTCCACAGGCTAAGTATTATAAGGCCCATTTTTAGAAGTGTTTAGACTGGTAAAAGTGTCAAGACGGGAAATCTGAAGCTACTGAATGTTTCGTTTTCCCTTGTCTTCTCCTTTATTTAGAAGTTGGCGTAACTACTCTTTAGTCTATTCTCTGCTAGTTTAAATTTACCTTGACCTTGATGATGATCTGCTTCTATTCCTTTTGCCTTCACCAAGGCTAGAGCTTGAATCATAGCCCTCATCAGCTGCCCAACTACCTTATCTTTATGGAGTATTATGCTTAAGAAGCTAGAATGCAGACTGATCTTTTGGATTCCTACACAACTGGCATAGATCCTTATTCATTTCTAATGGTTATACTGGATTATAATTAAACAAGAACTCCATAGCAGTCTAAACATCATCAGCAATAAAGACCAAGTTTTTAGGTTTTTAACGCATGTTGCACTTGATTTTGAAGTTCTGCATTTGCTGCATGAAGATCTTTGGTCTCACTCTCAGTAGGTTAATTATCATAAACAAAAGTCGCTCCTTCTTATGCTAGAGATATATATCAATCGGCTTAGGCAGTTCAAGCTCATTGTAAATCTTGGAGATATTTTCATAGGTTGGTAACTAGTTTACTAGCTTGACCTGATCATCTTGCTGACCTTCATATTTTGAACGCTAAGCGCAGCAGCCTCCCATTTTGTTTTAGTGACTTTTTGTAGAATATTAATAAATTATTTTTTAAATTAACTATTTAAGTTAACAACCAATTCATATTCTGGGGTTTTGGGGTTTTGGGGTTTTGGGGTTTTGGGG